AAAACAGGTTTCCCTGATGGCTTCAGAGCACAGTATTGCCAATAGCTTGAACGCGGCCATTGACTGCATTTAACGCTAGGGAGAGTATTTTAAACACCTCATGGGACAATACATATGACTATGAGAAGTAATGGCAAGTATACACAGAAAGCAGGTCGTTTAAATTTTGAATTTTCAGGTATGATTCTTAGTATGAAAATCTAGAAGTGGTTATTTTTTCGGCATTCCGCGTTTTTAAGGTGGCCATTTTGGTTTTCCGTCCTTAAATCTTCTCTGTAAAGTTTCGTTTCCCTACAAACCAAATTTTCAGAAATGATTCTTTGTATGAAAATCTCAAACTACTTAGTTATTTTTTGGGCAGTCTGGATGAATTTTAAGATGGCCATTTTGGATTTTTTGTCTTAAAATCGTATTTTCAACTAATTTGTGTTCGGCATTCAGGATGAAAAACTGAAAGTATTGTTGCTAGTAGTGAGCTATATTCTACTATATTCACCTACAGCTTAATTTGCAATCAATGCTTGCTGTATATGTTGAGCTATTCTTTATTAGAGATCTTAGGTCAAGGTTACAATGACATTATATCTTGTAAACAAAACTGAGCCGACCTTCTAAAACATTCAGAAAGTAGTAAATATTTGCTCAGATTGAATCATGTCACTAAAGATGTCCAATCAAGATGTACTTCTAGAACTTTCTCTCCCAGAATATTCTTTCACATTATAAAAAGAACTGGACAGTGAATCTCAGCAGCAGTAAATTAAGTTATTCATAACTGGACATCTACTCTGTAGCAGAAGATCAAAATTATTTAATAGGACACCTAATCTGGGAACAATTATATGCTACAAACATACAACCTGGTACTTTATATGTACATATATTACAACACACACTATATATGGATTATCATATACATTCGTGGATTATCATAAACATTTGCGGATTATCATTAAACATTTGTAGATTATCATCAAACATAATTGGATACGAACATTATAGGATTACGACGAACATTACAGGATTATTACAAATATTGGAGAACTATTATCGATTATTGAAACATTTCGTGATCTCGAACATTCTCAAGGATCACAAAGGATATCTATCGACATCGAAAGACAGGCATATTGGACATCTATATCTACATATACATATCATAAGTATTGACACATACTTTATATATTATTGTTTAGTTTTTTCAAAAATATAGTACTGTTCATTGATATATTTTAATTGCTTTTTTTACTTTCTGTTATTTTCGATCGTAACATTATACAGAATCATCCTTTGGTGGGGACATGTTGTACGCGTTTGTGTCCTTGTTGTTAACCCGTTGTGCGAAACCTCTGGTCTTACAAGTCAGATGCAAGTTACCAACAGCAACGTTAGAATCGTTTGGCATTAAGTTTTACATAATTGATACAGTCATACCTTTATTGCAAGATGTTTTCTAAATGTTTCTAAAATCTTCAATAATGGAGGATATAAAGATTCATAACTGCTGAACTTACAACGGCGTCCGACTTCTGAAAATACAAGAAATGAACTTTCAGGGCAACAAACGTCAACATTTTTGTTTTTGCTACAATGTTGTTGATATTATAGACAGATGTATAAACTATATATTATTGGAAAGACAATTCAATTTCCAACAAAATGGTATATTATTCAGAAATGAGCATTTGTCATTGAGCAAATATCATTTTGATCAGGATAAAAATATCATGAAATAGGCAATAATGATGTAGTTCTTATATGACTTAACTGGAATTTTAAATGGCAGTAAAATGCAATTGTAGACACCAAAAGAGGAAGTAATGGATATTTTTCCATGCATGGGTTAAGGCATTATTTCAACTGAGTTTTTTTGCAAAACATGTTTGAAGCAAATATCAATGTATCTAACTATTTAACTTTATGACGAACTGCAATGCATTATTTTAGAGCTATCAAATGATTCACAAACAATAAAATATATAAATAAAATATAATGCAACAGGCTTAAAACGTATTAGACAGGTTCCAATTTCAGAATATCTCAATGGAAAGGGTTTTTGAGGCATCTTTTAGAGAAAGCAACAGACCTATTTTTTCTAGATCAGTTGGCATGCTGATAAAGTTATTAAAATATGACAGCTCAACGGGATGGTCATGACACTGATTTCTAGCGTTTTTACCCCCCCAGGAAAATATTTTAGGGGGTACTATAATATTAGTTCATAACCCAAAGGATATCTGAACTACTGTTCTGAGTTAAACAGCATACATTGTTAGTACAGAGATGAATACTATCCTAAAGGTTATATGTTGATATCTTTGTTGATTTCGGAAAAAATACAATTAATTAGAAAAGTTATGCAATTTTTTCTTACTTATTTTATATTTGTAGTTTCAAGCAAAATATGACAACTTTAACAGCTCACAGTAGTATTCTAACAACATTCCTAAGCTATGTGTGATATTGTGATACATCTATTATAGTGATGAAGTACTATTTTGTAATTGCAATATGACTTTATAGTGCCCTACCCCTGGTAAATAGAACATCTTGATTGTGTATCTTTTTCCTATTTATTGTATTTTTTCTGAGACCAATAAGGGTATCAACCTATACCTTTAGGATAGTATACATATTTGTACTAGCAATGTATGATGTAGAAATCAAAACAATAGCTCTATATCCTTTTAGTTATGAACTAATTTCATAGTACCCCCTAGAATATTTTCCTAGGGGGGGGGGGGGTAAAAATGCCAAAATTCAGTGTCATGGCCATCCCAATGGCCATCCCGCCGAGCTGTCATCTTTTAATATCTTTATCAGCATGAAAAACTGATCTAGTAAAATAGGTCTGTTACTTTTTCAAAAATGCCTCAAAAACTTGAATTATTCGAATTGGAACCTGTCTATTTAGCATGTGCATCTATTTTGTGCAAATTTATGTTACTCAAATACCATGCCTGATCAATTTTCATGACAAATCTGACAAAACTGAAATATCTCAGACTGAATATTTTCAGGTTAGGGATTGAATGCCCTGTCTGCATGATCGATTATTTTTACCTGGATTTGCATCCATCGTCTCGAGTTAACAGTCGAAAAAGTTGCTTTGGTTTGGAAATTAATATTCAAAATCGGCTTTGGTCCCGGATATAATTAAGAGCCAACTAAAAGTTTAAAAATTCTGTACTATTATGTTTTTCCAAAATGTGTATAATAAAATCTTAGGCCACGATATAAATATATTGCACAGTTACGGATTTAGATATGATTTATCTTCTTATCCCTATTGCGAGAATCCATGCATCTTTGCTGTGTATTGACACTTCCTAGTAGCTTCCTAGTAGTCTATTTCGATTAATATAGTTCAACAATTTACGAAATACAATTGTTAATTTTGAGTAAATTGTTTTTAAATGACGATATGGGTTCTGTGATTTAAATTTAAAAAAACAGATAATTTGACAACCCATTGCTTTATTAGGTCGCATTTTAAACATTTACTGTGTTTCAGGCACTTGGAGCCTGCGCTAAATATACAAATAACGGAAACCGGTTATACGCCGTATCTTAGGTTTCAGTCACATAATCCAAGAATAATTGAGTATAATCTGTTTTCTTGTAGGATATAATACAATACAATCCGTATTAGAAACCTATTATACCCGTTTAGATGTAGAATAAGATGTAAGTAAACAGGTTATATTCAAATATTTTCTACCATATTTAGAATAAGATGTTATAACTTGCAGATTAATTTTTCCGTATACACGCAAATAATTTAAACTGTAATTATCGGAGATACTGAGTTACCACACCTTCTATATAACCATATAAATGGTAATCATACCTCGTATTTGCTTAGCTCTTCCTAGTGGTTCCGATTCAGCTAAGCAGATTACCATGAGGATCACTCCGACTGAAATCATTATATTTCCAATATGCATCTTGAAGGGTATTTGTATCAAATTCAACTATCCATACAAAGCACACCAAATAAAAACTATTTTGCCAACGTTAGAAGTAGATCTAAATGTATCATAATTTATAAAATCAATGCTTAATTAGATTATGAAATAGGAATTTACATATCGAATGATAAATGATATTGTATACTTTCATGCAATAAATATTGATTGAAGTACACTTACCAATAAATATAATTGTCAATGCTTTCGCCATTTATAACCGTGGCCTGCATGGTATTGGGGCTTTTTAATTTATATTAATTAAGAATCTGGCACCAATTATATATATTTTATATATAAAATTGCATTTTGATTAAAAATGTTTAAAAGGGTGGTTCCAGAAATTCTCAACTCACCAGCAGTGGTCCTAAATAAGACATAAATGGTCAAATGAATGCTATATTCGACGAAGAGAGTAACTGCCAATCCCTCCCTAAAACATCTAAAATGATAGATCGTCTATAGAAAGACGAGTAAAATTTACTTTGGTATGCGGGGAGCATACGTCTCTTGCATTTTCTAATTGAATATTATATAAGATATAATGATATTGACTATAAAAATACAGTATTCCATTACAGTCATATAATATCTGTCATGAAATATAATACGATCTATTATACCATCAAACTTGCCCTTTTAATAATCTTAAAATAGTATCGGAAACTTCCACCAGACATAGTGTCATTCGATCGCCTGATAATAAGTATCCCAAAGAACCGAATGATGATATCAGAAAATTCCGCAGTTAGGGTAGTATGTCAATGGAATGGTGACATCAAGGACAATGGCGATAAGGCTTTCATACTTCAAAGACAGACAGATATTTCAAGAATATAGTTGAGAACACTTTCAAGTATACATTCCATTGTGTAATATATCTACTTAAAGGAGGGCAATCTATACGTCAAGTACCAATAACGCTTATCAAAGCCAGTAATAGAAAGTGATATTAATAAATCCGAGACGGAATTCTCAAATACCTATGATCTCACGAGTTAGGTGCTTATGTTTTGTTTTGACGCCGATACAATTCATATACTTATTAAGAAAGATACGATGCTGTTGGGTTGTATACTATCTAGATTAGTTGTAAAATCTCAAGTGGATGGCTCATGGAATTCATTCAAAAACAGGCGACACGATTGAGTTTGTCAGTACAAACACTCAATTTTAACAAGCAACAGGTCTTAACGTGGAACCTCGCATCAACATAAAGATGGAAACTCTTGTAGGAAAATGGACAGTGGATTCATTCAAGAACATCAAGGAACTAATGCAAGCTATGGGTATGTTTAATGGTCTAGAAAATATATTTTAATACATATTTTAATTGCTATTGGATTTTAACTTTGTGAGCAGCTTAGTACAATTAACCTCCTAATCTCAATTATATTAGATCTCAACTCAGAAAATATATGTCACCCTATCAAGTGAAGAAATTATACCAATTCAAGCGTCTTCCAATAATAAATGTTAGTATTCACGATTAATGCAAAATGTTTAATTTTCTCCTGAATAAAATAAAAGTTTGTTTTAAATAAATTTGACAAGGAACAATTATCAAAAATTCTGAAATTGAAATCATTGTAATACCTTTTTATAAGAGTCTATGTGATATTTTGATATAAGGAATGATGCATTAAAGGGTGTTACGAAAATTATTGTGACGTATTTTCAGCTTTACTCTCATCTCGACTCTGGTCTCTGTTGCCCCTTTAAGCAATTGCAAGTCACAGCCATATTTCATATTACACAATGAATTGCATCAAGTTTTATCATTGATTGTAATATTTACATCTATCTTATAAATCATTTAATCCAAAGAAAACAGTAATATACAAGCGTTTGGATTCGCATTGATGATCTTCCTTTATATACGTTGTAAACCAATTAAATAAATATTGAATACTAGTAACCCCACGTAGGTACATGTAGCAATAGAATGAACTATATTTAAGAATGTACAGTTGTTATAAAAGACAAATGCATTATTTTGCTATTGTTTTATAAACAAACAAAATCAAGTGTAACACGAGAGACGTATCAATAGTTGAATAATACAAAAGAAATCAAACTTTAATGATGAAAAATACAGTGTAAGGTTCAGTGGGACATGGGTCATTTACGGCCATTATTTCACCTAACAGCCAGTACGAGTGGTTAACACATCACATAAACCTAATATTAATTTTTGTTTATCAGGCCTGCCTGCTGACTTTCAAAACCAGGCTGAGAGTGACACATCTGAATCTACGGGCGAGATCCGAAAAGAAGGTGATTATTGGTGTATCGTAAGCGGAACCTCAAAGGGCGCTAAAGAGATTCTGTTCCAATTAAACAAAGAATTTGACTACAAGACCACAGATGGTCGTGATACTAAGGTACTATAGCTTTCAGAGCAGCGTTAATTTGTACGTTCTACACAATGTAGACTAAGCAATACATATATTGTTATATGAACAACAGGACTATCTACTAACAATATCAACATTTCATTAAAACAATTTTAGCAACAAGAAACATAGATTTTTTACATACGCGTGCATTGTTACTGTGGAATTAATATTTCCCAGGACTTCAGTAGATTCCAGACTTTAGAATTAAAAAGTTCAATTCAATTTTCAGGTCACTGTGTATGAAGAGGGGTCTAAAGTGATCGAAGCTCAGATGAACCCAGTATTTAATACAAGGGTGACCCGGGAGATAGTCGATGGTAAAATGGTCATGGTAAGTCGAACGTTGTTTTGTTTAATATAGTTTTACGTTTCTATTCCATTGCCTGGGGACTTTGTACAGCTTGCCATTTTTTGAATCCTTAATCCTCTTTTAGACGGAGGCTCCCCCCTCTGTTTGGCAAAATATGAAGACCCACGTTTATTTAGAAGGCGTCTATCATTCCTTTTCATTTTTTATAGAGCACAATAAATAAAACTTTTGAATCGTTTAGGCCTATGTACAGTTATGTTTAAAACGTATCTGATTTTTAGAAACAGGAAAAATGCAAAAGTCAAGTCATTCGTGATTTTTTTACCTTCACTAAAACCTTTTTAAAACCACATTTTAAATGGCAAGTACGTGTGTTATAGTTTTTTATTCGAATGTTTGATTTGTTGGTGACACCCTGTATAAGCCTGGGCATTAATGATCAACCCTCTTATATTTCAGGAAATAACAGAGGGCAAAACAAGTGTAACAGGCACAGTAGTTTTCAAGAAAATGTAACATCCACAGTGGCTCATTATCATTTGAGATTATTTATTTTCTTGTGTACTTAGTATACAATTTGAAGACGAACATTAGATGGGATAATTGTTACTATGGTAACAAGCACCTAGAACAATCGAAATTGATTTTCAAGGTCTTATCATTGGCCCAAATTCCTAAACAACAATTTTGAATGATGGTCAATTAAATCGTTGAAGTATATCGATTTGCAAATAGGATGTTTGTAGCAGTCATCTCGATAGTATGGTAATAGAAATGTATGATTTATATGTGAGATCATTAGTGAATATGAAATATAAACATATACATTAAGTCTATTAAATGCTTGTCTGTTTGTATCCTTTTATACATCCATTTTTGCTCCGTCGAATTAATTAGATACCAGTTGATAGTGACAAGTTTCACCACCAGGTGGATAATACGGGTAAGTAAAATTTAAGTTCCCCTTCACTTGAATATTCATCAGTTAAAGTGGATCAATTTTTATATAACCATAGTGCTTCAGATAAGTATACAAATGAAAATAAGTCCTGTAAAAAATACTTGTCCAACACGATATTTCATTTTTTGTTGTTTTACGAAATCGGGACTAAGATACCCGACCAAAAAGTCCAATTTTCAAGTAAAATTTTCAAAGTTGATAAACAGTTTTTAAACGCATTTCTGAAATCAATGTAATTTAAAATGTAAATTTCAATTAGGAAATCACTATGTATTTGACTGGATTTTGTATATTTAATTCGTAAATCAAGAGTATTTCTACTTTTATGTTGTCTATTGCAGACAATATAAATAATATAAAACTATTTGAATTATCCCCCCGACAATCGTAAAAGAGGACAAAGATTTCTTTTTTGATTCATTGAGAAATTAAAAACCCATTTGATAAAACCAAATGTAGTAACGTATATTTTAGTTTATTATGTAACATATACAGTGTGTCAAATATTCTGTCCTCCCTCTACAGCCAAAAACCAAGATATATGGTACCAAGTGTTTTATATCATTGGAAAGATCGTCCAAAGTTACGTTGATTGACATATATCTGATGCCTGCTAATCAATGTCACAAATTCTTACATTTTATCAATTGAGGCCTAGGAACACTGCAACATTGACGTATATGGCAGGATTTTAAGAATCAGGCAACACAAAAATTCAAAAGAGTTCAAGATGACAACATTTGTATATATAGCAGTGAATTTAACCAATTTCTAAATCGGTTTAGAAGTGTGAAAATAAAGGGGCAAGGATAGTGGTACAAACTTTTTGTAGCAAGTGAAACGGGAAAAAAACAATTTTGACATATTTATGAGGTAATATTCTTTTTATTTGATGCTATAAAAGCTGCTACAGGAGGGCACACGTACTAACTATCAAGGACATCATGAAAATATAGGTAAATTTCATCCAAAATACTTGAGAGTTGGTAAGCTAACGTAACTTTTGATAATCTTTCCGATGGTAGATCACACAAGGTACCATATATTAAGGTTCTAGCTGTAGCAGGGGAAGGGACTTATTTGTTTGCACCCTGTTTTAAGTAAAAAAAATAGTTTGAAATTCACATGTTGTGAAATATTCAATGCGGGTTGCTGAGAGTGACGCAGATATAAACAGTATTACTGATATTGTCAACGTTTGTTTGACACCTATGAAAGGTTGTTTTTCATGTAAAGTCGTAAAGTAAATTAAAAAAATGAGAATGGAATGTGACATCGTGTTTAAACCACAAACTGTCTAGTTGAACAATTTGGAGCAAAGTAAATAAGAAGAGGAAGTAAAATTCGTTTTCCAGTATGCATTATAGATTGGATAAAATAAACGGTTGTGGAAATTGTGAATACCTTAAATAGCGTCGATTTAGTCGGCAACATAATACAACCTTTCTTCATTGAAAGTAAGTATATTTTTGAATTCTTCCAAACCAAACATTTAAAGTGTGTACGAATCTAGGTAATATAATAAATTGCTGATAGTAAAACGGTCCTTTTATCCAAAATACAAGAATTTGGATAAAGCTAAGAATATGAACAAACACTATAGGGGTCTATTTGAAAAAGATATAGATTTCAGGATGGTATTCATGGTGTGGGCATGTGGTCGTTTAAATTTGGAAAGACAATGAGCATGACATTTTACAAGAAAACATCAATAATTTCGCACAATTTACTGTTTAGCTCAAAAGCTGCTTCATTTTGGACAACATAAACCACATATTACATCTAACAGCATTGCATTAACCAAGAACCAACTCAAATTAACTTGTTAAACGGTTACCAAGGTGACAACTTGACTCATCAGATAAAAATTGATACTTTCACAACCTGAAAAACTTGTTCTTTTAGTGATTATTTATCTTTATGTGATTTTGTAAAAAATATTTTGCAATATGTGACATCTATCAAAATTGGAAAGAAACGGAGTACGACATTTTACAAGAAAACATCAATACTTTTTTGTAGTATTTTTGTTGGTCCAAGGGGTCGAAGTTATTTAATTGATACATTAGTTAAAGTTAGGCAAAGTGTGTCCATTTAAGCCAATCTGAACACGCTATTACATATAACTGCATTGCATTAACCAATAATCAAATCAAGGTCACTTGTCAAACGATTGCCAAGGTGACGACTTGACTCAACAGATAAAAATTGATACTTTCCCACCTTGACTCTTGCAAACGGTTTCATCGAAAAAATTATTTGATTTTGTAGAAAATATTGTGTATTGTATTGTGTGTATTGTGAGTCTCCGTTTTGTTTTATTTTCAAAAATATAAATATAAATATATTTGTTAAGATTAAAAATCGCTTGTGTTTATGAATGGTATTCTTTTGATAACCCATTTCCGAACATTTTGATAATTTAATGCAATTGACTTGCTTCAAAGACCTCTCAGCTATGAGGACGCGATGTTGAACCTGTCCATCTAATAAAATGCAGTGCTTCAAATATAGAGATTACAATAGTGTACCTAGCATATATCTCTGGCTGACTCCAGCTAACAATTTTACGTTGTGATAACGTCGTCAGAATATATGTCTCAAGTTGTAGCAACGTTAAATATGGAACGTTGTAGGTACAGGAAGGTGTGGACTCGCACAGATGTTTAAAGAACGTTACATTTGACTTAAATATCACGTGTCAGGAACGTAGTAGCGACCTTAACAATTACGTCGCCAAAATAACGAAACTGTAACGTACTTACATTACGTCATAAATACGTGGCCAATCTAAATTTCTGGTAACGTTGATATGGAACGTTGTAGGTACAGGAAGGTGTGGACTCGCACAGATGTTTAAAGAACGTTACATTTGACTTAAATATCACGTGTCAGGAACGTAGTAGCGACCTTAACAATAACGTCGCCAAAATAACGAAACTGTAACGTACTTACATTACGTCATATATACGTGGCCAATCTAAATTTCTGGTAACGTTGATATGGAACGTTGTAGGTACAGGAAGGTGTGGACTCGCATAGATGTTTAAAGAACGTTACATTTGACTTAAATATCACGTGTCAGGAACGTAGTAGCGACCTTAACAATTACGTCACCAAAATAACGAAAATGTAACGTCCTTACATTACGTCATAAATACGTGGCCAATCTAAATTTCTGGTAACGTTGATATGGAACGTTGTAGGTACAGGAAGGTGTGGACTCGCACAGATGTTTAAAGAACGTTACATTTGACTTAAATATCACGTGTCAAGAACGTAGTAGCGACCTTAACAATAACGTCGCCAAAATAACGAAACTGTAACGTACTTACATTACGTCATATATACGTGGCCAATCTAAATTTCTGGTAACGTTGATATGGAACGTTGTAGGTACAGGAAGGTGTGGACTCGCATAGATGTTTAAAGAACGTTACATTTGACTTAAGTATCACGTGTCAGGAACGTAGTAGCGACCTTAACAATTACGTCACCAAAATAACGAAAATGTAACGTCCTTACATTACGTCATAAATACGTGGCCAATCTAAATTTCTGGTAACGTTGATATGGAACGTTGTAGGTACAGGAAGGTGTGGACTCGCACAGATGTTTAAAGAACGTTACATTTGACTTAAATATCACGTGTCAGGAACGTTGTAGCGACCTTAACAATAACGTCGCCAAAATAACGAAACTGTAACGTACTTACATTACGTCATATATACGTGGCCAATCTAAATTTCTGGTAACGTTGATATGGAACGTTGTAGGTACAGGAAGGTGTGGACTCGCATAGATGTTTAAAGAACGTTACATTTGACTTAAATATCACGTGTCAGGAACGTAGTAGCGACCTTAACAATTACGTCACCAAAATAACGAAAATGTAACGTACTTACATTACGTCATAAATACGTGGCCAATCTAAATTTCTGGTAACGTTGATATGGAACGTTGTAGGTACAGGAAGGTGTGGACTCGCATAGATGTTTAAAGAACGTTACATTTGACTTAAGTATCACGTGTCAGGAACGTAGTAGCGACCTTAACAATTACGTCACCAAAATAACGAAAATGTAACGTCCTTACATTACGTCATAAATACGTGGCCAATCTAAATTTCTGGTAACGTTGATATGGAACGTTGTAGGTACAGGAAGGTGTGGACTCGCACAGATGTTTAAAGAACGTTACATTTGACTTAAATATCACGTGTCAGGAACGTAGTAGCGACCTTAACAATAACGTCGCCAAAATAACGAAACTGTAACGTACTTACATTACGTCATATATACGTGGCCAATCTAAATTTCTGGTAACGTTGATATGGAACGTTGTAGGTACAGGAAGGTGTGGACTCGCATAGATGTTTAAAGAACGTTACATTTGACTTAAATATCACGTGTCAGGAACGTAGTAGCGACCTTAACAATTACGTCACCAAAATAACGAAAATGTAACGTACTTACATTACGTCATAAATACGTGGCCAATCTAAATTTCTGGTAACGTTGATATGGAACGTTGTAGGTACAGGAAGGTGTGGACTCGCATAGATGTTTAAAGAACGTTACATTTGACTTAAATATCACGTGTCAGGAACGTAGTAGCGACCTTAACAATTACGTCACCAAAATAACGAAAATGTAACGTACTTACATTACGTCATATATACGTGGCCAATCTAAATTTCTGGTAACGTTGATATGGAACGTTGTAGGTACAGGTGGTTGTGGACTCGCACAGATGTTTAAAGAACGTTACATTTGACTTAAATATCACGTGCCAGGAACGTGGAACCAACCTAAACGATGACTTCGCCAAAATAACGAAAATGTAACGTACTTACATTACGTCATAAATACGTGGCCAATCTAAATTTCTGATACGTTAATTATGGAACGTTGTAGGTACAGGAAGTTGTGGACTCGCACAGATGTTCAAAGAACGTTACATTTGACTTAAATATCACGTGCCAGGAACGTAGAACCAACCTAAACGATAACTTCGCAAAAATAACGAGACTGTAATGTGCTTATGCAACGTCACATATACGTGGCCAGTTTTAAGTTCTGGTACGTTAATTATGGAATGTTGTAGGTACAGGAAGGTGTGGACTCGCACAGATGTTAAAAGAACGTTACATTTGACTTAAATATCACGTGCCAGGAATGTAGAACCAACCTTAACAATGACTTCGCAAAAATAGTGAGACTGTAATGTGCTTATGCAACGTAACATATACCTGGCCAGTTTAAAGTTCTGGTAACGTTTGTCTTGGACCGATGTAGGCACAGGAAGGTCTGGACTCGCACAGATGTTTATACAACGTTACACTTTACTTAAATATCATGTGCTAGGAATGTAGTAGCAACCTTAACAATGACTGCAAAAATAAAATAACAGACTGTAACTGCTAATGCAACGTCACATATACGTGGCCAAGTTAAAGTTCTGGTAACATTAACTATAGAACGTTGTAGGCAAAGGAAAGTGTGGACACGCATAAATGAGTATACAAGTTACGTTCGACTTAGATATCACGAGCCAGGAATGTAGTATCAACCTTAACAACGACTTTGCCAAAATAAAGAGAATGTAACGTGCTTGTCACATACATGGCAAATTCATAACTTCTGGTTACATCAAGTTAGGACAACACATGCTAGGAATGTTCTAGTAACCTTAATTATGCCATCAACAAGATATAGTTATAGTAATGACTAACGTCCAGTTAAATGAATCATTACATGAACATAATTTAAAGTTCCTGTACAGGAAGATGTAGACACCGATGTTCAGTAAAATTATATATAACACACTAAGCCTAACATTTTGACATGTGAAGGTAAAACAACTAACTTATGCTTTGACTTATTAGCAAATGTATATTGTTTTTCCAATAATTAATGAGTTAATACACAAGAACTTTTTTGAGCATCCAAATAGAGAATATTGACACACAGAATTGAACTTAAATATAATTACAGTCTCGTATGTCATCTATCAAAAATCTATCCTATCGTTAATAAGTTTTATTAAGTATTTTATTAACCCCTAAACGGTTAAGGGGGTGGGGAGATTTGCCGTTCTGGCTTGTCTTAAAATTGAATTAGGCATATTTTAACTAATAAATCGTGACTATATTGTACAGGGTGACCGGAAAAAAAGGAGACCATTGAAGTAATCAATTTCTCCTAAACTAGACAAGTGCCATCAATGAAATTTTGCATACACTGGAACAGTTATATGGAAATTTGTTACTGAAGGTTTCAATACAAGCATTCAACTGGTTCAGGAGCTATGATCATTTACATAACATGCTCCAAATAGGCACAATTGAGACCAACGCAGAGTTGGATTCATATGGCAAACTACCCTTACATGTTCTGCCCTCTATGGCATTATTATGGCATTACATATAGCAGTGATTGCCTTCTTTAGGTCAACA